TCAGTGAGGGAAGATGACCACTCAGCCACCTAAATCTGGAAATGGAGAGCCAAGGAACTCATAAGGTCTCTCAATATTTTCTCCTGGACATTGGTGTCACAAGGGCCAATTGGGTAGAGATGCATGGAGTTGGGAGATAACCAGCATCATTTTTAAAGAAAAGGCTACAGAGAATCTGGAGCCTGTCCAAGACATAGCATTGGGGAAATGAGAGCCAGGCCCTTGGGAAGGGCAGTTCCCTTTTCTGTGGAGATCCTGAAATGCAGCCATTTGGCGTGGAGCATCAAGTTTCCAAAACTCACACCCTGTGTTCCAGTCCATCTGGCCGGGGACTGTGGCCCTCTACATATACACAGTTGCAGCCACCAAGAAAAGATGCTATGGCTTTCACCTTCACAGTTCTGATCTGTTTCGGTGAGATGTGAAGTGTGGGAAGACACACTGGGATCCAGAAGGGACAACATCGCAGAGCCCAAGACTTTCCCAGCAGAAAGTTCTCGGGGCACGGGAGGTTCTCTGGAGGAAAGATCTTCGGAGAGCTCGGGGTGAAATCCTGAATAGACAACTCTCTTCCAGGACTCACTCTGAGACCAAGGATCCCAGTGCTGGCAGGTAAGTGTGTACTCAATTGTCCTAGGTCATTCCCCCCTTACTCTAGTCAGTAACAATGGAGACTAGGAGGTATGGGCTAATCTTTGAGATATTGGGTGTGTGCAGGACTGAGGGCTAGGATCCAATGGAAAATGTCCCATAACACCCATCTACTGATTCTTTGTAGGATCCTTACCAAAGCCAAGCATCAAGGCTGAGCCAGGCTCTCTGGTCACTAGGGGAATACAAGTAAACATCACATGTATGGGGATATCAGATGCACAGAAGTATCTTCTTTTTATTAAGAAATTCAAAAATATCCAGCATAAACAAACCTCAACGAAATGTGGGGAGAAAGCTGTGTTCCCCATAAACTCAGTCGGAAAGTATGATGGAGGCAAATATTACTGTTACTATGAAACCACTTTGGGCTGGTCAGCACACAGTGACGAACTCGAGCTGGTAGTGACAGGTAAGGGGATATTAAGAGGTACCCTTCTAGGCTCTAACTTCATGAGGAGGGGACTGTTGTCAGGATGTCCATTTCTTGCAGCCCAGCCTTGTTTGACAAGGGGAGGGGGCTTTGTGAGTACGTTTAAAACTCTGTTTCTCTCCAAGGAATCTTTGACAATAAACCCTGCCTATCAGTCCTGCCCAGACCTGTGGTGACCTCAGGGGAGAACGTGACCCTCAAGTGTTTCTCACAGGAGGAATATGACAGGTTCATTGTGACCAAGGAAGGAGAACAGACAGACCCCATGATCATGGAGTCGCAGAAGACATCAGCTGGGCAGTTCCAGGCCCTGTTCTCTCTGGGCCCTGTGACTCCTAGAAGTAGTGGGACATTCAAATGTTATGGCTACTACAAGGCAAACCCATACGTTTGGTCAGAACCTAGTGACCACCTGGAAATACAAGTCTCAGGTGAGGCAGTCCCACCGTTGACCCAACCATGTTTTGAAACCCTAATCTTTCTTTGAACTCTGCTGGGAGGTGGTTGAGGAGAGTTTCTGCAGACTGAAGCAGAGTCACAGAGTGTGAGGGTCGGTAGCACCTGCACCAGCACCAGCAAGGGAAGCTGGGAGGGGGGACATTCTTTGGGGGGGAACTGACTCCTTAAACACCTGCCAATGTTTCTTCCAGGGCTGTCCAGGAAGCCCACCATGTTGACTCAACAAAACCATGTCCTGGCCTCTGTAGAGACACTGATCATCCACTCTTGTTCTGACACTGACTATGACAGACTTGTCCTGGCCAAGAAAGGGGGAAATTACCTCTCCCAGCACCACAGTGTACACAGCCAGGCTGGTCTCTTTCAGGCAAACTTTACCCTGGGCCCTGTAAGCAGCTTCCATAAGTGCCAGTATAGATACTAGGGTGTACACAACCTCTCCTCTGAGTGGTCATCACCTAGTGACCTCACAGACATTTATTCACAAGCGAGAAGCCTTGGAAAACAATTCAGGGACTCAGACGTCATAGGGTCTTCTGTGAAAATCTAAGAGATGATAGATAGCATGGATTAGAGGGTCTCAGAAAGGAATAGACTGGGAAACAGGAAAGGGAGGGAGGAACGGGGTTGGAAAAAAAAACAGAAAGAGACCTCACAGACAACCCCATAACATGGTAGAAAGCTCCTCATCATACTCAGTATAGCCTGGCTGCACAGTACCCCCAGAAAAGAATGTTACCCTGGGTTGTTGGTCAAGGAACACAGTAGACACTTTCATTCTGTACAAGAAGGGAGCAGTCCTTCCACCCCTGCACCTAAGATCAAAATTCTGAGCTCATCAGTTCCAGGCACAATTCTCTATGTGTGATGTGACCTCAGGATTTAGAGATGCTGTGGCTCTCAACGTTTGTGGCCTAACTATTGTTACACACTAATGCCCCTGTGGAACTCCTGCTT